CACCACCTCATCAACCCTCCACCATCACCGCAGCCACCGCAAAGAGATGGTGTCTCACGCCATCCGGATCAGATCACACCCACTGTCGCCATCGTGAAGGATTCAACCCATCCACCTCTTATTGTCTGGAGCGCAACCAGGTAAGAGTGCCCGAAGAAACATGCGACGATCATGGGGACCCACGTCGTGGACGAGTGCTGGGAATTCATGATCGGCGATAACGAGAGCAGTCCCTAGGCGCTCCATTGTGTTACCTGCGACAGCCACCGCAACTCACCAAAAATATCTCAATGGCAAGCATACCGACCACCACTATCACCACCACTCCGACACCAACACCAATACCAGCAGCAGCAGCCACCTCCGGAATCTATCCTCGACGCAACCACACATGTGCTTGCTGAAGAAGAGACGATAAACAAATCAGACGGCGGGTAATCATAGTTACTTGTGGTTTAATTTTTAGTTTTGTTTTAAAATTTTTCATTTTATTTATCTCGAAAAAAATGTTGATTTATTTTAATGGCCCAAAAAGCAAACCAGACATTTTTGGGAACAAGGATGGATAATGTACATAAGTCTTTTACTTAGGAATTAAACGAAAGAACACACTTTTGGCAGAGTCGACCCCATTTTTTACTGAAATGAAATCAATGCAGAAGGCTGGGAAGCGACATCGTACGTATGCCACATCGTATTTTTTTGGCACCAAATCCCACTCAGTGTTCTAAAAAGCACATAACATAATGCATCGTATTTTGGTCTTTATATTGCCTAACGTAAATAGCGTTGCGTGTTGCTTAATCTATTTGGGTATAAGAAATTATTTTTATACAAATATTATATGTATATTTACATATAATAAAATTGGATGATTGATTCAAAAAAATTATCATAAAGGCTCGTTAATAATAATAATCAACAAGCCGTACTTAGACTCGTACCTTTGAAAGTCCTAAGGGGATGATTGCTAAGGAGCAAAGTTGTGAAAACCGGACCGGCCAAGCTACTGGTTCAATGATTCACTGGTCCGACCAGTGGTTGAACCGATATTTTATTATATTTTTAAACATATATAATATTTTTTATTTAATAAAATTTTTATATAAAATTTTGCTAATTTAATATTAAGTCATTTTGAAACAATTAAATAATTAAACTAACTAATAATAACTTACATATATTTGTTACATGTAAATATATATGTTTATTTATATTAAAAGATTTTTAAATATATTAAAACATATTTTAAAATTGGATCGATTTTTGGCATGTTTTGACTGCTTCAACCAATTGTTGATCGATTTGCTGGTAACCAGTTCATTGCAGCTAACTAACCGGTCGACTGCATGTCTTATCAATTTTAATAATTACATTTTAAATATTATTTAATTAAATATCTCTCATTTTATTCAATAATTTTTATTTAAAATAACTTATTTTAATTTTAACTCATGATCTAATTTTAATTTTAATATAAAGTTAACCAATTATCTTACCATTTACCCCTAAAAATTAAAAGTTGTTATAAATATATGAATATGGACATTACTAATATACAAATTGCTCATGATAAAATCATGATAGTAGGCTCCGATGGAGCTTTACTTACTCTTCCTAAGGGTACCGAATTAATAATTAATGTTGCGCTTTTGTACCCTGAAACACAAAGAACACTCCTTAGTTTTAAAGATATTCGATCAAATGGTTTTCATCTTGAAACTAAGACTCAAAATAATATAGAGTATCTTTTTATGACTTTTTCACAAGGAAGTCAAAAGAAAATTGTAGAAGAACTTCCATCTTTCTCTTTAGGCTTGTACCATACTTACATTCGACCTTCTATTAGTCATGTTGGATTGAGCGTAAAATTTAAATACCCAATAATTTGCAATATTTTAGCAAATAATTTGTCAGATGCATTTACTGATCATAAAGGAGTGACCAAATCACATATACCTTCTATAAATGCACCACAACGAGTGGAAGTCCCCATGAAATCCAATATTCCTACAGATGTTCCACGCTAGAAGCGTGGTAGACTCGTTGGTGCAAATCCGCAGTAAACGAAATCTAATAAGAATATTGAATCACTCCCAAAATCTCCAGAAGAGAATTGCCCAGAAGCGAAAATCCTAGTCTAAATGCACGTCCAACAAATAATAAAAATACTAAGATTGCGGAACATCCAGATCAAAATATATTGGGAAATGATCAAGATCTGGTTGATGGAAATATTTAAGTAGCTACAAATTTCAATGATACATAAGAAACTTATAATAGAAGTAACACAGACGTCGACGACACATTTGCCTCTGTAGTTGCCTTTACCATCTCTAATAATCTGGATCCACAACCTAAATCAATTGCAGAGTGCCGGAAGCACTCCGATTAGAAAAGATGGAAAGAGACAATTGAGGCCGAACTAGACTCGCTAAATAAACGAAAAGTTTTTGGCTCTATTACTCGTACACCTCAAAGTATTATCCCAATAGGATATAAATGGGTGTTCGTACGAAAGAGAAATGAAAACAATGATGTGGTAAGATACAAAACGAGATTAGTTGCTCAAGGGTTTTCGCATAGACCCGTATTGATTTTGGCATATTCTCCTGTAATGGATTGAATAACGTTCCGCTATTTGATATCTCTGGCAGTAACTATGAATTTAGATATGCAGTTAATGGATGTCGTGACCGCATATTTATATGGGTCATTAGACACTAATATATATATATATATATATATATATATATATGAAAATCCCAGAAGGATTAAAGGTTCTCGAAATAAGGGAAAATAAAACACGCAACCTGGATATCATTAAATTACAAAAGTTATTATATGGCTTAAAGCAGTCGGGTAGAATGTGGTACAACCAACTGAGTGAGTTTCTGTTGAAAAATAATTATGTGAATAACGATGTGTGTCCCTGTGTGTTTATAAAGAAGTCATCGAATGGTTTTTGTATCATTTCAATATATGTTGATGACATAAATATAATTGGCACACGAGAGAAGCTTGACAAAGCTAGCTCATGCCTAAAGACGAAGTTTGAAACGAAGATTTGGGTAAAACCAAGTATTGCCTCGGCCTGCAAATCGAGCATCTCCCTGAAGAAATTCTTGTACACCAGTCAACCTACTTGAAGAAGGTTTTAGAAAAATTCTACATGGATAAATTTCATCCACTTAGCACACCAATGGTTGTCCGATCCTTTGAAGTGGATAAGGATCCATTTAGACCTAAAAAAATTTAGGACTAGAAGTTCCTTACTTGAGCGCCATTGGCGCGTTACTTTATCTTGCAAATTGCACCAGACCTGATATTGCATTTGCAGTAAACTTGCTAGCAAGGTTTAGTGCTTCTCCTACGAGGAGACACTAGAATGATATTAAACATATTTTGGTATCTTCAAGGTTCACAAGATCATAGTTTACTTTATAAAAATAACCAAGATATGACATTGGTGGGATATTCAGATGCTGGCTATATGTCTGATCCCCATAATGCCAGATCTCAGACTGGTTATGTGTTACTCTGTGGTGGTACTGCAATCTCTTTGAAGTTGGTCAATCAGTCCATGGTTACTACATCTTCAAACCACTCAGAGATAATTGCTTTCAGGGGCGGAGCCTTATAGGAGGCCCACACTGGAAAAAAATACTATCTCATATACCCTACTCAAAAAATAGTTTAATGCTCAATTAATAAAATAAAATAAATAAAAAAACAATAGCAACACAAAGTGGGAAAAAAAGTGATAATGAGAAAAAAAAAAATCACTGTTCTTGTTTATTTTGGTGAATGTAAATCTAGTCATTTCTTTTATTAGATTTGATATAAAAATTAAAAATTTAAACTTGTAATTAATTGAATGTTGTTTCTTAAAAGACTATTAACATATTTAAATTTGTGTGTGACTGATAACTTGTAGTACTTTTAAAAGTTTGATATATTAGATAAAGCATTTTATATTTTATAATTTATTTTTTATATCCAATTATGGAGAAATATTTTTATAAATAGTCTTGACAAAAAAGTACATGTGAAAATATTTCAAAATTAGCTACTTTTATTCCAAATATGCTTGAGGTGAATTATAATATCGTTCGGTTGAACGAAACTGTAAATACCTTATTGTAGACTCATATCAAGCTATGAAAACTCATAGCGTAGGTCAACTAAACGGTATTCCGATAGCAATTTTTATGAATATCTATTTTGTTTTATACTTCATTATGATGTATTATATTTGTTTTCTATAAGCAAATAGGCCCCCACTCATATTATGAGCTAGATCCGTCCCTGATTGCTTTATACGAGACTTCACGAGAATGTGTATGGTTAAGATCTTTAATCCAACATATTTGTGGGTCATGTGGAATTACAAATGATATAACCCCCACTGTCCTTCACGAAGACAATGCGGTCTGTGTTTACAAATGAGTAGTGGATATGTCAAAGGAAGCATGACAAAACACATTACTGCAAAATTCTTTTACACTCACAAGCTCCAGAAAAAAGCGATGAGGTTATTGTGCAAAAGGTACGATCTAGCGAGAATTTAACAAATCTATTCACCAAATTCCTTCTTACATCTACTTTTGAAAAATACATTTATGGTATTGGTATGAGTAAACTGGGAAGAATAATGTCTTCAGGGGAGGGACAAACTCAAAATAATCCCGAAAATTAGGTCCTGAAGACCAAGTGTTGTATTCTTTTTTCCTTAACTAAGTTTTTCCTATTGAGTTTATTAGTTAAAGGTTTTTAATGAGGCAACTAGTAAAACACGTGAATTTTATAAATTATGTACTTTTTTTTCTTGACTAATGTATTCTTTTTTCTTTGATTAATTTTTTTTCTCTCTAAATTAATATTAATATATATGAATATAGACATTATTAATATTCAAATTGGGCCTGAAGCCCATTAATTAAGAAAATTAAATTTTAGGTCTTCTAAATCCTACAATAGGTGATATAACCGATGAACGAAACACTTTTATGCTCCTCTTTTCTCTCAACTGCGCATCTACGCCAGCGATTTTATAATACTCATTCTTGCAAATAGCAAAAGGCCAAAAAACTGCTCACTGAAAAACTTCTATGTGCAAAACACCCAACAGAGTCGAGTCCCTGTTACTTCTTCTCCACAAACACACAACCACACACAAGCGGGCCGATCACCGCAAACATGTTGCTGGAGCTCCCTCGGCTAACCAACTCTCTACGGCTCCCTTTCGATGCCGACCAAGCGTATCTCAACCGGAAATCCTTACTCCAGAACCTCAATCGCCGGAGGTATGTATACGCCTGCGTAAATGCTGGTCGAAAAAAAAAAAAGAGATAGTTTTACTTTTGCGAAGTGATTTGTTATTGATGCTCGATTGACCTTTCAATTCCGTTTGGTGCATCAGCTCTCCAGCTGCGTTCGGAGAATCTGAGCTCGCTCGTACGATCATCCATCGATGGGAAGAAGGTGCTGGGACACTCTATACATTGTAATTGGTGTTTTAAAATATATTTGGTTTTTCTAGTTTAGATGAATCTATATGAAAGTATTGTTTGAATGTGTGTTTATTCTGTGCGTGTGTGCGTGTAATGTCTCCTTGTATCAGTTCTTTGTCTGACTTGTGCAGCTTCCATGGAGGTGCGACAGCTGTACAAGCAGTTTATTGCTGCGGTTGTTGAGCTGATTGGTGGTGAGGTGATGTCAGAGGAGTTCCAGGAACTGGCGCTGAACGTTTATCAGCTATTTACTGGATCTGAAGAGGATGAGGTTGAACAGAGAGTTTTGGCAAATAAGTAAGCACATCTATGCTCTGTTGATATGTTGAGTCCAAACTTACTTTAGAAAGAATTTGCTAAGGATTACGTTTGTGGCTTTTATTTTTACCCGAGTAAGATCAGAGATGGTTTTGATAAATGGTTTTAGAATTTTAAGTTTAATTGTTTCTTGGACCCACTTGATATTGTTGGTAGTACTTTGATAATAATACCTAATTTTGTTTGATTTTCATTTTCCTTTAGGTTTGAGTTGCAAAAACTAATTGGACATACTGTTCCGGAAGCAAATATGTTGAAAGTTGCATCACTAGTAGAGAGGCTTTCTGGTTTACAGAACACTGAGTATAGAAATAGCAATTCAATGGAAATGGTGAGTGGAGATGGCAAGGATTTGGAATTTGGAGCAGACCTTGTATTCCAACATCCAGCTCGCTTTTTGGTTGATATTTCTCCAGAGGATGCAGAGATTTTGATGGAGGAAACTAGCACATCATCTTCCAATCACGGGGGATGGTCTGATTATGGCCACTCTACAAATTTGCCTCCTGTTGGTGAAGGTAACTTTGACCTAGAGTGGTTGCAAAATGCGTGTGACAAAATTGTCAGGGCAAGTACTTCACAACTGCCCCGAGATGAACTAGCAATGGCCATTTGCCGAATTCTCGACTCAGAGAAACCTGGTGATGAGGTACACGAATTATAGTGATAATGCTTTTGTTCTCATCTCTAAGCTCTGTATATTTGCTTTTCTAACTTACGAGTGACCAAGGTCTTCAAATTATGGTTTAATATCATAGATAGCTGGAGATTTGCTGGATCTTGTTGGTGACAGCTCCTTTGAAACCGTGCAAGACCTCATCATGGTATAGATAATGTTAATTCATGTTGTGGTGCTTGTTTATTGACTCAATCCTACTTTATAGTAATTCACTTACTATAAATGATAAAGGACAGCTAATAAAGGACATTTAGTAATTCATGAAGTTTGCTTGAAACAAATGTCCTTTATTAGCTGTTTTCTNATGCCATCAGCACAGAAAGGACCTTGTTGAGAGTATCCATCATGGACTGTTGGTACTCAAGACTGATAAGTCGACTTCAAATACACAAACAAGGATCCCAAGTTATGCTACTCAGGTAACCAAGTGGAATTTCTCTCTTTCTTTCTTTTCTTTTTAAACAAACTTTATATAAAATCTTTTAGCTGCTTGACTATTGAATCTCATACGACACGTGGAAATTCTGTATTCGTTGATTATCTGAGAATAAGATCAATTTCAACATAAAAAGTTGCAGCAGATTTCCTGTGTGTGTTGTCTATTTGTTCATGTTTTGTTAAGCTTTAATCTGTTTTAAGTTTTGCATTTGATATAAAGTTTCTTGATTTAGGTAACCGTTCAAACAGAATCTGAACGGCAAATTGATAAACTTCGCCGCAAGGAGGAGAAAAAGCATAGGCGTGGAACAGATCACGGGATCGAGAATGATCTGTCATCCTTTTCTTTCAGTTCCTTACTACAAGCTAGTGAGAAGAAAAATTTACTTGATGATCTTGTTGGGCATGGTGATGGGACTCAGATTGCTGTCACAGCGCTTCCGCAGGGCACCTTGAGGAAGCATTACAAGGGATATGAAGAAGTCACTATTCCTCCTACACCAACTGCACCAATGAAACCTGGGGAAAAGCTGGTATGTATAATATGTATTGCAGAATTATATTTTCACTAGAAGGGTAACATGTTCTACTTTGTGGTAATATGGTAAATATCATTTCATGTTTGTTTATTTTGCTTATCCTGTTACACAGGCTCATCTTTACTTCATGTTTAATGATTGCACTGTCGCTGTGAATCTGCATATATAGTTGGCACATTCTCAATGAACTACTCACTTCTTACACGTAGTCCATGTGCCAAATATATATCTGTTGGATTGTGTTTATGCGTTTCTCCTTTTGTATATCTTTAATAACATCTGCATGTCATGCACTAAATCATCATTCTGCATTATCATTTATTATCATTAACATGAGTTGAAACCTTGCTGTTTTCAATCAGAGTTTGCTTGTTTTCTAGGTTCCGTGCTTAAAAGCCTAGTCTATCATAACGAGGACTTTTTTCATCCGAAAACAGTGACATTTTTTTATCAATATTTTTACACTTTGGAAGTTCCATTTTCATATTTTGGACTTACAGATCTGATTTTGTTGTTTGTTTGATGATAGATTGAAATAAAGGAGCTGGATGACATTGCACAAGCTGCTTTCCATGGTTACAAGTCTTTAAACCGGATACAGAGCAGAATATTCCAGACAACTTACTACACTAATGAAAATATTCTGGTGAACAAAAATCATATTTTAAGTTTTTTGTTTAGGTTCCAGGAGAATAAATCCTTTGTTACTTGGAAGCGATATTTATTTGCTTGCAGGTATGTGCGCCAACTGGGGCGGGGAAAACAAATATTGCAATGATTTCTATTCTACACGAGGTGTGCACAAATGCCTCATTTCCCTTGTGGTACATATGCCTGTGTGCTGTTATGAATGGCATATTCATCAATTAAATTTCTATGTAGTTAAGATGGAAGGAAATAGGGCGAGAAAAATGCATGGCGGATGCTAGTAAAGCATCTACTGTTTATGCTGCACAAATTGATTCAGATGTTGAAGCAGTATATAAATTATTCAAAAGAGGCAATACATTGTTTGATATATCTGGAAGATCTGAAATATGATTAATGTAGAGGCCTCACAGGCACTTACTGGTCTCTAGCTGCATATATAAATTTGAACCAGTCTTGCGACACCCTCAAGACTCGAGATAATTTCCATTGAAGCAATATTATGTAGCATAAATTAGATTCTTAATTTATATCTGGATTAACTTTTCAATGTTTTATTTTCTCATCTAAAAAATTACACATATTTTTACAAATATATTGCAGGACGAGGGGGAAAAAGACTATAGGCTAGACATCTCATGTGGTTCCTTATGCATATATGAAGAAATTCTTCTACCTTTGTTCTCTTGTGCATCTGATTATGATACTATACGTTCTTTGTACTTGATGCATTTGGTGAAGTGTAACAAGCTTCCACAACTTAAGTACTCGCATAATTAACACTAATTTCAAAAATTTCTGTTCAATTGATTCCATCAGATCGGACAACATTTCAGAGATGGTTATCTACACAAAGAAGAATTCAAAATTGTTTATGTTGCACCGATGAAGGTAAATCAGTTCATCTTATAACCAAATTCTTTTATGAATTGCTAATATTTGCTCAATCCTTTCTAGGCTTTAGCTGCGGAAGTCACTTCAACCTTCAGCCATCGGTTATCTCCTTTAAACGTAACTGTGAGAGAGCTCACTGGGGATATGCAACTCTCTAGGAATGAACTTGAAGAAACTCAGGTTATCTGCTTCACATGTGACTGTTGGTTTTTATTCAATCATTTCTTCGGTTGGATACAACTTACGAATGTTGCATAGTTGTTGGAAAACCTATTTGTAGTCTGGACTTTAAGCTAACTTGAATTTCCATGTTCAGATGATTGTAACAACTCCTGAAAAGTGGGATGTCATTACTCGTAAAAGCAGTGATATGTCACTCTCCATGCTAGTGAAGCTCCTAATCATTGATGAAGTGCATTTATTGAATGATGATCGAGGTGCAGTAATAGAAGCATTAGTTGCTCGCACTCTTCGTCAGGTGTGTATGGCATGGTATATTAGTTTAAATTTGTTAATATATGCAAACTATAATTGGTATGTTCAGTTATATTATGCTAGTGAAAACAAGCTCAGTGAGTTCGGTAGACATTCTCTCATATTTCAGGAAGAGACTTTTCCCTTTTTGAGAAACTTAAAAGTTAATAAAACACAAAGTCAAATAAATAATATTTTGTCTACCATGTCTAATTACTGATGGTGTTATGCTTACTGTGGTACAGAAGTCACAATTATACTTTCAAATTAGTTAATGATCTATTGATCTTCTTTTCCCTTTGTAATTTTTGAGGGTTTCTTGACATTATTCAATGCTGTAACATGTATGGGACCTAGTCTTTTCCCCTCTTGAATATATTACGTGTTTTAGTTTCTACACTATCTTCAACATACGATGCACATCCTTCAGACTTCAGAGTGGTTATGTTTTGAACCTTTAAAATGAAATGAATTATCCACTGGCTATTTTTGGAGACAGTTGACATTTACTCGATCATTCTGGAAAACCCTGGCTTTCTTGTTGGTTTGCTTGCTTAAATATTTCATTCGTGAATTTGCTTACCCTGCATCCTTGTATTGACTCTTGATGCAATGAACTCAGTTATAAATGGTATTATATCCATCTTAGTTTACTCTGGTTCAGAGTTTCAAAGTGGATTTCTTGCCTTATATTTAGTGGTTGGGGGAACTTGGCAAAGGATTTTAATAATGAATTCTTATAGCATGATTAGTTTGGTTCGCTGGTTCTATTTCTGGAAGAATATTGTGAAAAGTATTTGAAAAATGAGAATAAATTATGAAAGCAGAATTGGATATTAAGTTGATAATTTGAGTTGATTTGGTGACATCCTTCAGTGTAATAATAAATGGATGTGATTGTTGGTTTAAAAATTGAAGAGTGATATCGCAGTGTGATGATGATAGATGAGTGAATATTTTCAACAGCATAGTATTTTGATGTGATAGATCCATCGAAAGTGAGACGAATTAGGTGTACTTTTCAAAATTTTCAGAAGAAATCACATGCCATGGAAAAATTTGCAGAAAAACTTTTGCAGGCAATTTTTATGAGCATCTACAGCCTAATTATATCCGGCTTCTAGAAGAGTTAGAAGACTAATATATCAAGTTATCAGCAAAGTAACTGAACGGAAATATTCCCTTTATTTGCTCTTTATTTTATCAGAAGCAGCGTTAGTTTTCATTCTTAAATTGCTATTTGAGTTGCTTTATAACACTTTCATGTTTTATACGTGTGTGTGTGTGTGTGTGTGTGTGTTTCATGCAGGTCGAATCTACTCAAAGTATGATACGTATAGTTGGCCTTTCTGCTACTTTGCCCAACTACTTGGAGGTAGCATTCTTCAGCCTGCTGAAATCTCTGTTTGAAGGAATTACCATTTGGTTAAAGTTCATTTTGACTATCATTTATTTGTGTGTGCTTCCTGACGTTTATAGATGTTTATACTATTCGAAAACTAGGTGGCACAATTTCTGAGGGTAAATCCAGAAACAGGCCTATTCTTCTTTGATTCAAGCTATCGCCCTGTACCTCTTGAGCAGCAGTACATTGGGATCTCTGAACATAACTTTCTAGCTCGTAATGACTTGATGAATGATATATGCTACAATAAGGTTGTATTTATTTCTTGAATTCTGCGCTGCTATGTGATTTCTGCTAGAAGTTTTAACATTAGTGTTGTAAATTCCTTGGCACAGGTAGTGGATTCATTACGGCGAGGACATCAAGTCATGGTTTTTGTTCATTCACGGAAAGACACAGGGAAAACAGCTGACAAACTGGTAATGTTTTGCAACGTTGTTTATAAGCTTCATTGGATTTAGTCAATGAAACAATTAGATCTTCTTTCATTATTTTTTGGTCCAATTAAAGCATATCCAATCGCATCCAAGTCATAGCAGAAAAAGCTGCCTGAATCCAAGATGAATACCTGAATACTCATCCGATAAAATATGATCCATTTAATTTTATATCCTAGAAATAATAGAAATGCTCAAAGCCAAAGGAGATTGTTGGATCCATTTAATTTGATAGTGGTTCCCAGAATGGGTTTATGATCTGAAGACCATTGGAGAACAAGTTCAGAATCACAACTCTGGGCAGTAGTCATTGAATTCGAGCAAAAAATGCAAGAATTGTTAGTAATAGTGGTGTTCAGATGGAGTAGTTGATGCTGATTAGGGTTCACAACAGTTGGTGTAACGTCATGCCCAGTTGATGGCGGTGTCTAGTTCAAGCAGTGATGAGAATCTTAAATGCTCTAATACCTTGTAAAATACAAAGAGATGATAGTTTCTATGTGTAATTTAAGTACATAGAACTCTTACCAGAGGGGATACAGGCTAGGTTATAATATCTGCCAAAACCCAAGAAAACAAAATATCGTCCTACCATACACAGAAGATTCTAATATACTTGAATCAGGAGGATGATATGGTTATATACAGGAAAACGAATATACGTATAGACACACACAAATACATAATAAATCTTCAACATCGATGGTAATTTTATTATAACATGGATAATTTTGAAAACTAAATTAAATTTATATACTTCACTATTTTAGATTATTTGATACCTTTATTGTTGGAATGGAAGATGGACTTTTGAAGTTAAAATAGTTATTAATTATTATTTTAGGTATTGAAAATAATTTTATTAGAAAGTGTTAGTAATAAAAAGCCATATGGAGGAGTCTAGGTCAAGTGTCAGTGGGCTTCTCTGTATAGCTTAATTTATGTATTATTCTTGATGTATTCTGGGTGTTATTTGCAGCTAGTTGTATTGGCTATAAATTTATGTTAGTGTCTGCTTTCTTAGGATTAGATGCCATTGGTAGTGTCATGTTTTGGTTGTAATTGGCTTGGCTAGGCAGATATGGTTTTCTGTCCTCTCAGGGTCTGCGGATTGGGGTTCTTGCCCTATGTACATATTTTTCTATGGTATGAGAAAATCTTTCTGCCGTTTGNCCTTGGAAATTTAGGAGATATTAGGAAATATCCTTAGTGTTATTGTGTTTTTTATGGTGTTTATATGTCATACTTAGGCAATGAATTTATGAACTATGTTAGTTAAGTAAGTATAATTAATGTCAACTGTTAATTTATATGGAAATTTGGAGTATTGGATCAGACATGTGAGCCAGTGTGATTGAGAAATATTAGAAGCACCAAAGGCTGCCACTTGTGAGCCTTGCATCTTAGAAGAGACATACTCTAAAGTCTTAATAGTATGTAGCGATTGATTTAAATGTCCGATGCAACTGCCACCACCAACTTTAAGGGAAACTTTAATGATGCATGTAAACATAACAGGGAACAGATGTATCGCTCATGTATGTTTGAATATTTCTTTGCCATATTATCTGAAAAAAGGCGTGAAATTCACAGGTTGAGATTGCCAGAAGACATGAGGACTACGATCTCTTCACCAATGCTTCACATCCTCAGTTTGACCTTATAAAGGCAGGGAATTTGTTGATAAGTTTTCTGTGACACCTCCCTTTGCTGACATCTTTGCTTCTCTTCAAATACTCATCCTCTTTCCATTTATTCATCTACTCAGAAGGAAGTTCTGAAGTCCAGAAATAAGGAACTGGTCCAACTGTTTGAATATGCTGTTGGTATCCATCATGCTGGGATGTTACGGGCAGACAGAGGCCTGACTGAAAGACTTTTCTCCGAGGGACTTTTAAGGGTATTATAACTCTTCTCAACTCATATAATTGAGTATTTTAACATATTTTCCTCTGAAAGATGCTTCCTTTCTTTCTAGGTACTCGTTTGCACAGCGACTCTAGCATGGGGAGTAAATCTTCCTGCTCACACTGTGGTGATTAAGGTTGTTCTACATTAAAATTTGAATATTACCCTTTTGATAATGCATCTCTTGCGTGTACGGATTTGCATTTTCAACTCTTAAAATGCTTTTTTTTTTTAAGTTCCTTCTGGATCTATCTCTGCCTCTCATTTTCTGGTTTTCTTTAAGTTAATGCTTTGGTCCACGGTAATCCTTTTCCAACCCTCACATCAGTGACAAATTGAATGTTACATTACAATAATTACGATGGAGCATATCTGAATCTTGTTGGGTTTTAATTCACAAAGATAAGATTTCAGGTCTTTCGTAGTGTCTGAAATTGTTAGAGATTGTATTTTTGTGCTGTACTTGCTCTGTTTTTCTTGTAACATCCCTATGTTCGTCCTCGCTTCATTTTTATTCTCCCATGTTAGACTGTCTTTGGAAGTTATAATTCCCCATAAAGCAGAAAGCATTCAATCACTTCTTCTGGAGTTGGAAATGTTGTTGTGTTGCTGCAGTTGTAAGTACAATGACCAGGCTGGTAATGTTGCTTATGCTTTTTTCATCAGGGAACTCAAATATATGACCCAAAAGCTGGTGGGTGGCGAGATTTGGGCATGCTTGACGTAATGCAGGTGTGAGTCAACCTTATTCTCTCTCTCTCTCTCTCTCTCTCTCTCTTTCTCTCTCTGTTTCATGTCCTTCTGAGTTTAATAGATTTTCTGTAGATATTCGGTCGTGCTGGAAGACCCCAGTTTGATAAAAGTGGCGAAGGCATCATAATAACCTCTCATGACAAATTAGCATATTATTTGCGTCTTTTAACCAGTCAACTTCCAATTGAGAGTCAGGTAAATTCTTACTTGTCTATTATCTTCAAAATTGTGATTGTTAGCTTATATTCTGGATTTAAAACCTTTAAGCTAGTTCTGAAATTCATTAACATTCCTAAAGGCACGTTGTCTGTGTTTGAACAAACAGAAGATTCCTGGAAATTTTGATAACTCTCCAAATAGAAGTTTTCCTGGCTTAGAACTTTGTTGGAACCATGAGATCTGAATTATTAGTTATGGTTAGTGGCATTTTCCATATTCATGTTTACTGTAATTTGCAGTTTATAAACTCCTTGAAAGATAATCTAAATGCTGAGGTAGCACTGGGAACTGTGACAAATGTTAAGGAAGCTTGTGCTTGGCTGGGATACACGTATCTTTTCATAAGGATGAAAATGAATCCACTGGCATATGGTATTGGATGGGATGAGGTACTTCCATGTTTCAACCTCTTTTATTATAGTCAACATACTACTCTGCTGCCTATCTCATTTTTATTTCATGAATTATATGTTTTCATCTCTATTCAGTTTCCTTCGTCTGTGACAGAAATTAAGAAATTCATTTAGTGGATGTGCTTTTTGTTGCTCAGTTGAAAAGATGTAGTCGTAGTCAGTCCAATATGTCATAACTGTAGTCACTAGGCATGCATCTCATTTTGGAATCATCTTATGGGGATTCGTACTGAAGTTTGCTTCATTGAACCCCTAAAAGTATCGCCATAATCAATTAATTTTCAGAGAACCGCATGATATCCTAATATGTGAGGCTGACTTGACTCTGATCTTGTCTTTGAGGGCCATCATACTCAAGTTTTACTTCAGAAACTCCTCTCCTCTGTGTATGTCTCTGGTTAACTAAGTTATTGTAATGTGGCAGGTCATCGCAGATCCTTCATTGAGTCTGAAACAAAGAGCTCTGGTTTCAGATGCTGCACGTGCTCTGGACAAGGCAAAGATGATGCGCTTCGATGAGAAAAGTGGAAACTTTTATTGCACTGAGCTTGGTCGTATTGCTAGCCACTTTTACATTCAGTACTCCAGTGTTGAAACCTATAATGAGCTTTTGAGACGCCATATGAGTGATACGGAGGTAATGGACTATAAGAGTTGGGTGTTTTTTATTTATTTTTGTTGTCCTACCAGGAGATGAATTATGTTGATCTGGTTTCTTTATTACTTATTATTCTATAGTTTGTAAATATTGATTCATTACATCTGTACTTCCTGTGTTCAAAATATTCCAAGTTTATGCACTTTATGCCTTTCGCTTCCAAGACTGAAATCTGTTTGCTTATAATATATTTTACACGATGCCGGTAGTCAAGACAGCATATATAACAGTGGATCCTGGAGCCAAAATGAATGTCTGTACTAAGAGCATATGCACTTTTATAGCTTCTACACGTCTGAGTGCTCACTGAAAAGAAATTTGGGAGGGAACTACTTGTGAAAACCAAGTGCCTGACCTCTAAGTATATGCTTGAAAGTAACATTCATCTAAAGATGGCAGACATGCAAACAGGGTGAATATATTCATCTATGAATGTCATTCGCTGACATTTTTTTATTTGGACCATTTTTTTCCTTGAAAATGTGACATATCATTAATTCTTATATATAGTAATGGGGTTCATTCAATATAAATGTTTGATTATGGATTGCACTCCAACAATTATAGGTATGCCGGAAAACTTTTAGAGTTTCTGTTCCCTGAGTAGGCGATTTTTTTTTCTTTTTTTTTTTCTTTTTATTGAACAATTGTCAGAATCTTTTACCATTTGAAGTAAAGCATTTTTTGTGTTCTTTTTCTTTTATCTTTATACATTTGGTTATCTTTTCACATCTAGGGAAGAGAATGTCTGAATGTCTTATCAGATCTTGATCTGTGCTTCAAGTTATGGATTTGTAATGCTCCTTCGGATGTTTCAGTCGAATGATAAACATCCACGCGTATGGTTTAGAATTTCAAATTACATAGAAGCCTAATAACGAGAAATGTTTTGGTTTGTCATGTTTTGCACGTACTGCATCTTTACTTTCCACTGATAGGTTGATGTTGGCAAAGAAATGTTTAGGTTGTTCATGTTTTGCACGTCCAACATCTTTACGTTCTATTGATGTTGGCAGTGAATCTCAGTGAACGGACTTCTTAGAGGATATTAAGTATATAATTTCCTGTGGACCACTGGTCCATCTTTCTATTCTTGTAGGTAATTGACATGGTTGCACATTCTTCGGAATTCGAAAATATTGTCCTCAGAGACGAAGAACAAAATGAGCTAGAAATGTTGGCTCGCAAATGTCCTCTGGAAATTAAGGGTGGTCCGTCAAATAAACATGGAAAAGTGTCGATACTTATCCAGGTCAATGGTTATTACTTCCTAGAAAGTTGGTTGTGTTAGTTTTAAGGGAAAGTCATCCTTGTCTTACATTTATGTATTAAATTTGTTTTACAGATGTACATATCCAGGGGCTCAATTGATACTTTTTCACTAATTTCTGATGCATCATATATTAGTTCAAGCTTGGCTCGCATTATGAGAGCCTTGTTTGAGATTTGTTTGCGGAGAGGGTGGAGTGAGATGTCATCTTTTATGCTGGAGTACTGTAAGGCCGTGGATCGTCAAATTTGGCCCCACCAACATCCACTCAGACAGTTTGATAGAGAAATTTCAGCAGAAGTTCGGACATAAAACTTCTTTCCATTTTGGGGCATTTTAAATCATATATTTCTAAAAGAGCCATATGTTCTTATTTTTCAGATACTGAGGAAGCTTGAAGAAAGAGGAGTGGACTTAGATCGTCTATATGAGATGGAGGAAAAAGAAATTGGATCGTTAATTCGATATGCACCTGGAGGAAAGGTATCTCTTCTATTTCACTGCTGTTATAGGACTTGGAAAAAAATTCCTTTCTCTGTGATATGCTACACACAATGTGGCCTGATTTCTTCTTAATTGAAGGTGGTCAAGCAATACATGGGATATTTTCCAATGGTACAGTTATTTGCTACAGTAAGCCCAATCACTAGAACTGTTTTAAAGGTACCGGCAATGTGTGAAACTCTCTCTCTCTCTCGATTTTTTTTTCCCTTTAGATGTTACATATTTTGCAATTCTAATTCTCGCTAAAAAAAGATCATGGATTTGTCTTAGGTGGATTTGACTATTACACCTGAGTTCGTCTGGAAGGACCGGTTTCATGGTACTGTGCAGCGCTGGTGGATTTTAGTTGAGGTGCTTCCTTGCCAGTTTGTTATTTATATTTTGCAAGATTGTGATGTTGAAAGGCCCTTTTCTCCAATTTCTATGGATTGGCAGTATTCTGATGGCTACTAGGTTTTAGGCATTTTGAAAGCTATTTATTGGGAAGTGACAAGAAAATAAGGTCAAACTTCCTTGATGAATCCTCAAGTGCACTAACCTGATAATTGAGAGATGCTAGTTTTGGGACAGAACATGATGCTATTTATAAAATGAGTCTTCTGGACCTTAAATAGTTAGTCTCCTTTGCCTTGAATTTGCAAATACTTTGATGTTGCTATTTTTAATTTTGCAAAAATCAAAATATACTGATTGGCCTTTGCCCGAACAGAAAAGTGAACAAATTATTCTAGTTAATTCTTAATTCCATGGTCTTATGTAGACATTCTAGAGGTTTGAATTGATGCCAAGAAACTAAAAGAATTAATGCCAAGCTCATGTTTCACATTGTCAGAAGACATTCTTAGAATGATTTATTTGTTTGTACTCCATGAGTTATATGCACATCAATATGTCATATGCACTGTGTTCACTAGGGATATGCTGAGAGACTGAATAGAAATATGCAGGCTGTGATTGCTGGGCCTCTATTTTCATTCACTTTTAATTGTACTGAGGATGATGTGAAATTGTTCCTTACTTCCTTTGACAGTTGAACACTATATATATAGGATGTGTCGTTCTTTTATTGGGAGAGACATGATTTGTAATTGTGATAATTGTAACTTACAATGTTTGCATTTGGTAAAGTGGTGATTGGATGAAAGAATTATGAATAAATTTAAGAACATTACTTGGAAGTATTTTTATTTGCTAAGTACGTCCATAAATAGTTAAAACTGTTTTTTACAAACAAATGTATATACAAATAAGCTCGTATTTATACATCGTGTATTTATGCAAAAGACTATTATAATTTAATCTTGTTGGTTAATTAGTGATTCTTTTTTAAAATTGATTAGGTTCAGTTTACAATATAATTGTGCTTAGAGATATATACTTGAACAATTTCAGGCACAAATTATTTTGGCATCTTTAGAAATCCATAGCATAATAGGCGAGTAATGAGAAAGGTTATGTACAAATTGATGCTTGTTACATAAGCTTATTACTCTACAACTGATGCAAAAAGTACTGTTCGGCTACTGGCCACTTATTAATACGGTGATGTTCATTTGCAACATTTGTCGAATGTTTAAGTTGTTACTGCTTCTCAGATACACTGTGTGCTTTAATGGCTGATCATTTACTTAGGATTCTGAGAACGATCATATATACCACTCAGAGCTTTTTGCACTAACAAAGAAGATGGCTAAAGGGGAGCCTCAGAAGCTATCTTTCACTGTTCCTATATTCGAGCCACATCCTCCTCAGTATTTCATTCGTGCAATCTCAGATTCATGGTTGCATGCAGAGTCTTTCTACACTATATCTTTCCAGAACCTTGCGCTTCCAGAGGTGGTTTATTGATTGACTTACTAGTTGTCATTTAAGGGTTGATGCTAAACTTGATCCTTACTTCAGGCACATACAACGCATACTGAACTCCTTGATCTGAAACCTCTTCCCAAGACTGCACTTGGCAATGAAATTTACGAAGCATTGTATACGTTTACACACTTTAACCCCATACAGACACAGGTTCTTTCTTCTGCATATTTCCTTATATCCAGCCTCGCCTTTTTTATTTTACAAAATTTAAGTTCTTCTACTGTGACATATTTGACAATTTTATTGCAACTGGCACACGATATATGGGCCTATAATGCAGGCCTTTCATGTGCTTTATCATACGGACCAAAATGTTCTTCTGGGAGCTCCAACAGGAAGTGGTAAAACAATATCGGCTGAGCTTGCCATGCTCCATCTGTTTAATACTCAGCCTGATATGAAGGTATAACCTTTCCGTTTGTTCACGCTATATTGGTATGTCTTTAATCTTGGCTCAGTTTGTCTATGTTCTCTTGGAGTTCTGCTATGCCTTTGCCAAATCTTGATTTATGGACTTTGAGTTGTCTGTTCCGCCTGACAAGGACGTAAATGGTAAAGATACTTAGTCATTGTTAAAAAGACGAGGAATTTTGAGTAGATCATTGTTTGGTGTGTAAATTTCGCATTTCAGTTGTGAGGCTTGAATGTTTTGGCGTAAAAGCTTTCGATTAGTAACATGATAATGTTGATTCAAGCTGAGACTTGTTATGAACCTTTTCCCTTTCGGGTAGGTTTGGTCAAATTGGTCTTGGCATGACCATGACTCTAGATTTTTATGGTTGGCGGGTTAGGCTGGAAAAATAGGATTAGAATTGCGATACAGCATATAATATCTACCTTTCAAATATAGTTTACTTATCCCGACTTTATTTAGTTACAAGAAAACTTATCCTTCTGTTTCACTGAAATGGTATAGATTTTTTCATGCTAATGTATTTTTCATAATTTAAGTTACTGTTTTATGTTTGGTCTAAGTAATGTATCTATTTAAATGGATATTGCAATATTCTCATGATGCCTATGTTATGTAAGGATCTGTTGTTTCCGCTGCTACTAAATTTATACTAATAAAAAATTAATGTTAGCGAATCAAAGTTTTGGGGTTTTTTCTTGACGTGCGGTGAGGGGTAAGGATAACCAACTGGTGCAGAGTGGATTGTGGCATGGGCGTAGCCAACACTTCCAATGGAGGTCTTGGTTCCAAATCCACCTGGTTGCATTCAATTGTGTGATTCTGGTGGAGTCTATATTCTGATTCTGTTAAGTACTGGAAACGTTTGGTTGTTTCGATGTTGATGCTTGTGCAAATCCACTTGCATGACGAATGAATCGTTGGGCTTAACATCCGCCTAAATTTCCTCCATGGTCTTCCAACACAGCCGGCCATTGTCATTTTGAGCTCTCTTTCTCTGGCTGAGGGATTAATGTTTTAGTTACTCTAGGCCCACTAGTAGGTCTAAAATATGNTTAATTGCACTCTGAATACTTTGATTTGTAGCTTTATAAATAACTTATTGTGATCCTAATTGCTGATGTGAGTTGTCAAATTGTTAGAAGAGCTTCTAATAGTTACATTCTGTTGTTGGGGCATCTCCGATGCTGACCTACTTAGAATTTCCGTCTGGAATATAATTTTGACAATCCTCAATATCCAACTGTTCACAAAGACCACCAGTATTATGTTGCTTGTGATTTATTAGTGATGAATATATGCTAACGAACTCTTAGAGGGACCATTTTGTTTGAAATTGGGCCTTATTTTCCATTTAATACGAAGTGTTTTGGTATTTTTGTACTTCTGTAGGCATTGCACTAAATATAGTTTTTTGATGATCAAACGGCTGTTTTAATGCAGGTTATCTATATAGCACCTTTAAAGGCTCTTGTCCGAGAAAGAATGAATGATTGGAGGAAGCGTCTTGTTTCCCAGCTTGGAAAACATATGGTGCTTATAATTTTCCGCTTATTATGCAGAGTTATGCGAAGCTATCTAATCTAATGCGACATCATTGATATTAGGTGGAATTGACTGGAGAATATACCCCAGATCTGACAGCACTGTTAGCAGCTGACATCATTATTTCTACTCCAGAAAAATGGGATGGTATCAGTCGTAATTGGCATAGTCGAGGCTACGTTAAGAAGGTGCATTATTTTCTGAACTCTCGACTTTAAGTTCTTCCCCATTTTTGCATGTCTCAATTCTTGACTGAAATTTGAATTTCAGTTCGGGGTTTATTTGTTTCATTATTTTAGTCTGACATTGTCCTTTACTGAGTACATTGTTCTTTGAAACATATGACGAATATTATTTCCCAATTGGATATTAATGTTTCATATTTTATTAATTTAAGTTGCACCAGTTATTGTTGTTTATGTTGTTTATGTTGTTGTTGTTGTTAACTTTTATGTAAACTTTCTAGGTTGGACTAATGATACTGGATGAAATTCATTTACTTGGAGCAGATCGTGGTCCCATATTAGAGGTATTCTTAATTCATTGCTTGGCTGTCATATGTTTTACATCTTCACAGAATGTGATCATGAGCCTTTGTTTGCTCATTCTAGTATTATAGCAACCTGACCACTTGCACTAGCATATAATTGGCATCAATGACCCAATTGAAAGTTCATTTACGCAGCGAAGTTCTGAACTGTAACACTATGCAGTAGGCAGGTGGAACTGACTTGGGTTGATACTTGGAATTTCTGTGAAGTGCATTGTTTACGCTTTTTGGTTGTTTTAGCTATCTAGATTGTGTTGATGTATGCAAATCAATTGGAACCAAATGACTTTTCATCAATGTAATCCCTTCAGTCATCCTACTTTGTCAAACCTCAAACAACAAAATTTCAGCACCTTAAGTCCATAATGCACAATAAAACTTAGCCCACAAACAAAAGGGATTCTGTGGTGATTCAAAATAACTATCACATTCCTTGGCAACCACTCAGAACTAGTTAGAAGCTTCAGTGTTTGTCCCTGAAAATTTAAGCTTTTCGACAATTTCTGGAACATGAATATTTTGTGCAAGATAAGCTAAGCAAACATGCAGGTAAATCGTCAAGTTTCTGGACTCGTGAAATGTTTTAATGAAAAGTACTTGGTGTTCATCTCACACACTTTTAATTATGCCTGTCTATGCACTTTTAAGTTAAACATATGTCATTACTCATTAGATATTTTCTTAAGGATCAAAGTATTCTGAATATCTGAACCGCAAGAAACTATTTTCTATTGATGATACTGAAATTGAAGAACCTGGGATGTGAAAGTTAGGGTCTAACTAAGCAAGAGAACCATCCAAATCAGGGTTTTAAATTTTCGTCGGTGGAGGAAGACTTTTGGTAGGGAAATTTGATATTCAAAACTTTTAAGGGCTGTACTGGTAAGTCCTTTATTTATTTCTTATTTTTTTTATGAGTATTGAATCTGGAAAGAAGACGAAAGTAAGATGTGATAATTTTATTGGATACACCGTTAGCCAATTGCAAGAAACTAAACTTCTTTCAGGAGGGCTTTGTTAACTTACTTTATATGAACAAATATATTCCAATTGAATGTTTGGAGCCACTTCTGACTTTCTGTGATTCTATATCTAATCTACTTTAGTTTAATTTCAAGGAAAACTATGGCAGACTTCAACTGAGTAGGTTAACTTTCCACTCTTTTCCTCCACTAATAGTCTGTCATAGCAGTTTGAATTCTTTTGAAGTCCCCTGGAAAATTCTTCATTTATCTTTATATCTTCAGATGGATCTTTGGGATTTCTCTGGGGACTGTCTTGATGCTTTGAGTTGGACAACCAACTTTCACTGTGATTTCCAGAAAATGGTTCAAGTCATTATTCCCGGACTTCTCTTTTCTGAAAACTATTTTGGGAATAAGAAGAAAAATGTATTTTCCGTTATATCCTGGACCTACCCATTTCTCATTATGTACAAATCTCCTAGGGGGTAAATAGAAAATAAAATAAAACAAAATATTGCATTACAGAAAAGGATTAATTCTTCGGATCAGGACATTGATTCTGATCCACCAAATCTCATGAATGTAGGTATCTTGCTTAAAAGAGCTTCTCTCAATTAACTGTACCGCAAACTTCGAAGAATAATGGTCTAGATTTTCCACATTTTATGTACAATGCCCCCTTGAAGCATTACCAATATCATCTTAAGGTTTTTATGCACAGACAAGCAACCATCTTAATCTGAGCCTCTGTAGAATAAAGTCGTAGGGTTATGGTACTTATGGCAGATAGCTAGTTTGTTCGTAATTAGACTAAACCACATGGGTAGTATTTGGAAGTATCTTTGGTCTCTTACTCTGTTTAAACTTTTCTTAATCTGAGTTTTTCTTTTTATTTAAATTTTTTCCAGTAATATGAATTAAAAGCCTTCTGATAAATATAGATTTCATGTGACCTTTACAGATTCTTTTAAGAGTTCCATGTGGGTTTTAAATTAAGGAATCAGAGATATTGGTTTATGCTGAGAATTGCATTTTCTCATTTGATTAATCATGGATGGTTTTTCTCAAGTGAATAACTTGCTGAATTTTATTAATCTGTAGCATCTTTGAATCTTTTTGCGTCGCAGGTTATTGTGTCTCGGATGAGATACATATCATCACAGACAGAGCGTTCGGTTCGTTTCGTTGGTCTTTCGACTGCTTTGGCTAATGCACAGTAAGTTCAGCCAATTTAGTATCCTTCCATTTTGCGTTATTATTATTTTTTATAATGTGACTCCTCTGGTTGATTCAGTGATTTGGCTGATTGGCTTGGCGTCGAAGAGAATGGTCTGTTCAATTTCAAGCCTAGTGTTCGGCCGGTTGCTCTGGAAGTTCACATCCAGGTAGCTTACTTCCCTAAGTATTCTGTGTATTTTTTACTGAAGTTCTTGCAACTTACACGCAATATACTGATTCGTTTTTTAATCCATAGTGGTACTACATACACATACTAGTCTCACCCTAAGGAAAGAATCAATAGGCCAATCCAGGCGTCCTAATAATTTCTTAACTAGTCCATGGCAAATTTTCAATGACACTACTAGTCAAGCTGGAACATATATATCAATGATGCACAGGTTGTTGCACAATTTGTTCATCCGTACTTCATTCAAAGCTTTTGTGAGTATGCCCTTGTCATGAACTAAGTGGCAATATATTTCAACTTTTGGTCCATTCATGAGAAACAGGATTTGAATTGCATCTTTTGGTTTTTACACAAAAGCTTTGCGAGGAGAGACAATTTCCTTTAGTAACTAGTGTATCCATAATATGTTATACACCGAATCAGCCATAGACCTCTCTGCTGGATCAGCCACTATTGAGACACGATATGTTGTTTCTTACTTGTCCATGAGTTTAAATTACTTTCTACAAAGATACAACATCCTGAAGCTGACCTTCTAGCATATTCTTACAGCCTGCATAGTCATCGTCAGAATATGATTCAATCAACCCGATAAAACACTGCTTTTGAATGACATATTGCACAAAGAACAATACTCTTCCAGGAGCCCCCTTTTAGTTAGCAAAAACATTTCCTCATTAGTAGGAGCATAAATAAAGTGAGTAGCAATACATGGTGCATAAGTGATGTCAAGACGCGTTATCATAAGATAACTCGTCTTTCCTACAAGTCTACACTACCACTGGATCCTGGAATAGTGTCTGCTTCTTTTTTAAATTGCTTATTAGGGGTCATGGGGGTAATGCAAGGATCTTTCTAACTTTGATCAGGAATTATAAATACATGAGTTTTGATGTGTCTTTCACTTTCATTGAAAATATTAGTCTGCATAATACATAATCTTGAACATTTCTATTTGGAGAAAGGAAAACATTTAAATAAGAAAACAACCGTCTTGGTAGTTCATAACTGAAGTGTTGTTAGCGCTTCCTGGCATTTGCACTATGAATGTATTAAAATTTCCTTTTTCTCTCCTGTAGTTTAGTTGAAGAGCTTCATGCTAATGCCTTAAGAGCTCTGATTGTCAGTTTTTTTTTTTTTTTTTTTTNTTTTCTATATTTGAGCAGATATTATGATGACACCATATGTTAGTAGTTTATTTTAAAGAGAAATCCCATTCTTGAGGAGATTGAGAAGTTTTGTTTCCCAGCCTACTTTAAGTTCAATGACCAAATTAAAGTTGTATTTTGATATCAATGTTCCTAGTAGACGTAGGTTTTAACAAATTACTGGACGTCATTTATCCGTTATGCTTGCTCAGTGTGAGAGCTTTAGGAAGACTATAATTATTTTATTACTGATGCCCAAATTATGTCTCTGATTAGGGATATCCTGGGAAGTATTACTGCCCGAGAATGAATAGCATGAACAAACCCGCTTATGCTGCTATATGTACTCACTCTCCTACCAAACCAGTTCTTATTTTTGTTTCATCACGTCGTCAGACCAGGCTTACTGCATTGGAACTCATTCAGGTCAGAATCAATCACAGTTTTTTTTTTTTCTTTTTAAATCTCAGTGTAGCTTGGTTGCTTATATTTTGTTGCTATAACTAAAGTATGCAGCTTCCGATGAGCACCCAAGACAATTCCTTGCTATACCTGAAGATTCATTACAGATGATACTTTCCCAAGTAACTGATCAAAATCTCAGACACACGCTGCAATTTGGCATCGGGTTGCACCATGCAGGATTGAACGAGAAGGATCGATCTCTTGTTGAGGAACTTTTTGCAAACAACAAGATTCAGGCAATTAATTTGTACAACTTTAGGATTGGAATATAATTTTTTCAAGAGGTTAATTCCTGTCTAAATATATAGTTATATACTTGTTTATGATTTCATATTCTTTTCATGCATCTTTTCAGGTGTTGGTTTGCACCAGTACATTAGCATGGGGTGTGAACCTTCCAGCTCACTTGGTTATTATAAAGGTCAGTGAAAGTATCTTCTCTGCATATACTACTGGCTTTAATTAGATCATCTGGATATAGTATGCCTGAACTCAGCCTTATCCTTATTATTTTTTTTTTCTTATATGGACTATTGGAATACTTGGCCAATACAAATTTCCTTAGATACTGAGTGATTGGGAAAACAATGATCAGAAACCCCATATTTTGACACAGATCCTGATCATTTGAGGATGTCAAATTGTTACATATATCTTGGAAATCGCTGCAACTTGTCTCCTTTTGTCTTTGATTTCCTGAGTTATTCCTAACGATATTCACATGGTCAATTGGTTACTTATAAGGGCCATGGACTTGATATACGAATTTGAGTTATTGTGATAGCCTGATAGGAAAGTTATTTTTCTCTCAAGTAAAATAAATATTGCAAGTTAAAGTAGCGATGGACCTTCAGATTTTTCTTTTGATTTTAAGCCTAGAGATAGAAAATTCGGAAGAAAAAGTTTATTTCAGTGGCATGTTAACAAGTGAATTACCGCCCTTTTAGTAGTGGAAAGCAATAAGCAAACAAATTATTAAACTATCTTATTGCCAATGCTTCAGAAAATTTTAAACAATCTTATCACATTTTCCTGATCTCTGACATGATTAATGAAAACAAAGGTTGAACAGCTTAAGTTTTATAAATTTGTGCACAAATAAGAGATTGCAGCCAGTTGAGGAACAGAGTGGAATTTAACTTTCAACTGAAGTAAGATTGATGAAATATTTGCTAGAAAAGTACTGTAACTATTAAATTCTTCATTGTCCTAACTATGGAAGTTGGTAACCTGTTTTATGAATTTCACGTGCCTCAACCCTATAAAACTGTTGGTTTGTTTTATTTTTATATTTTTGTTACCATGCTAGTTACAGAAGTTTTAGTTTGTTATAAGCTATAGAGAGCACCTGATAATGAAACAAAATAAATCCTGAAGAATCTCTGTTCTCCAGGTCTTATTCTTTCAGGTTAAATAACGAAGTCGCAAAAAAGAAATATTATATACTTAAAATGAGAGAGCGTGTTATGAGTAGCAGTGGTTCGCAAATGTTTTTACTATAATGCTTAGAAGCCTCCTGCCTAATTTTCCGGCCACTGATTTCACTTGGAAACAGATAAAAGTTATATTGCTTGTCCCATTTTGAGGTTAACGAGTCACGTAACATTTTGTTTGCCGAAATATGCTTGAATTTGCATTAATTGAACGACACTTTGCTATGTTTTTCTTTTTAATTTTTTTCTTCAACTTTATTTTTCATTGTATTCATTAATCATCTTTTATGAAATTTGTTGTGATCAGGGAACAGAATATTTTGATGCAAGAGCAAAAAGATATGTTGATTTTCCTATTACCGATATTTTACAAATGATGGGTCGAGCAGGAAGGCCTCAGTACGATCAGCATGGGAAAGCTATCATTCTCGTTCATGAACCAAAAAAGAGCTTCTACAAAAAGGTCTGATATTTTGAATTATTTTTGGTATGACATCACATGACTTATTTCACATTTAGTGAAAAATCTTTTTACCTCCTTTTGCAGTTTCTCTATGAACCATTTCCAGTTGAAAGCAGTCTCAGAGAACAGTTGCATGATCACTTCAATGCTGAGATCGTTTCTGGAACAATTAGTCATAAAGAGGATGCAATACATTATCTCACCTGGACATATTTATTCCGAAGATTGGTATGTTATTTCATGTTTTGAAACTTGAACATGATATATTGTGTCCTGTCATGCGAGTACAGTATATTGTTTTGGACAAAGCATGTCGCTATACCCTGCACAATAGCTGGCGCAAATATAAAGTTCTGTAGCTAATGAATCACTATTGTCAATGAAATAGTTTCACTTCCTGTGTTGTACAGTTTCAGGAAAACACAGGCCTTGTAACAAAGATATCATTTACTTTTTCGGTACAAGTGGTAACTTTTGACAACTTGGTGGCCCTATAGAATGTCAAATTATGGGAAATGCTGACACAGAAACATACTCAATTTTTTTTTCTTACAAATGATATCATTTACATTTTTTCTTACACATTATGGGAAATGCTGACAACTTGGATATAAAACTTTTCATTGCATACTCAATCCAACTCAAAATCTAACTCAACTTTAAATCAACCCCACTATTCTCAATATTATCAATGTAATTAAATAATACCAATCAATCATTCTTACGAATCACATCAACTTTAATTCACTATTCATCCACTCACATAATTTTAACTAACCATCACTTCACATCATCTCTCTCCTACTTTTACATCAAATCAACTTTAATTATTATATTTTGAATATTATTTTAATAAAAACTCGAAATCCTACTAACAACTAACCATACTACATTTTTCCAAATTAACCCTGGTTAACCAAAAAAATCCATTTTGAGCGGAAATTTTTGTATCCAAGCACGCCCTAAATGTTTATCTATGTATAATATCTTTCTGTTCATTTTGACTCACTCGTGCCAGGTTATGTCTCTCTGTTAAAAGATTGACCTTTTGTAAATGTAATGGACTTCATGCGGATGTCTTACATCTTATATAATATATTCAACTCAGTTATGAGATTTTTAAATGTATGAAAAAAGTTGAAAATCAGAGATGTTATCTTTTGTCGCCCACAAGTTGTTGTTCTTGTGCCAGGTGGTTAATCCAGCTTATTATGGCTTAGAGGACACAGATCCTGGAACTCTGAGTTCTTATTTGTCAAGGTGAGCTTTTTATTGAAGTGCTTATAATGGAATTCAATTTCCTCTGTTGAAAATGCCGTATCTCAGTAGTTGATCTTGTAACAGCTTAGCAGTAAGCACATTTGAGGATCTTGAAGACAGTGGTTGCATTAAAATTGATGAGGACAGGGTGGAGCCAATGATGTTGGGTTCAATAGCATCACAGTATTATCTAAAATACACTACTCTGTCGATGTTTGCTTCAAATATTGAAGCAAACACATCACTTGAAGTTAGTTGCCTCCCATGACACCCAATGTGAATTTGTTGCTTTTGATATTTAGTATAATATCATTCTTGTACTATTTTTCTGTTTTAGGTTTTCCTCCACGTATTATCTGGTGCTTCTGAATATGATGAGCTTCCCGTGCGGCACAATGAAGTAAGTTGGTTGCATTCTTGATCCCATAAAAGATTTAAAAATATTCAGTTGACTTGTTGTACTGCAAATTGCTCAGACAGCTAGCCATCGCCGTATGCTACATTGTGAAACTGTAGCCGACACATTTTTTTGATTTACGTTCATTTGTGTCAACCGTCGTTCCTTTCATTTGTCTTTTTCTTTGTTTCATAGTTCATTTGGTTATGGGTGTGCTTGTAGCCTTGTATACAAATATATCCACTCAAAATAAGTTTTTTTGGTTAACCAAAAAGTTGGTATGGTTAATTGTTAGTGGGATTTTAAGATTATATTAAAATAATATTTAAAAGAAAATAATTAAAGTTGATTTGATGTAAAAGTAGGAGAGAAATGATGTGAAGTGATTGTTAGTTAAAATTATGTGAGTAGATGAATAGTGAATTAAAATTGATGTGATGTATAAGAATAATTGTTTGGTACTCCCTCCTATTTTTATTATTTGTCATCCTAGCTTAATTGATTATTTGTTAAATAAATGTCGTTTTGACTATTTTGTACATATTTTTCCATCATTACCCTCATCTAACTAATAAATACACTATGTCTTTTCATATTCACTCTCCATCTTTTCTCAAAACATCAATCTCTATTCTCATTGATGAGGGTTATTATTGGCAAAAAAAATATTCTTAATTATTGTGCAACTTCTCAAAACGACATTTATTAAAAATAGGAGGGAGTATTATTTAATTATATTAATAATATTGAAGATAGAGAAATTGGGTTAAAGTTGAGTTAGATTTTGAGTATGAATTGAATATGAATTTGATAAATTTATAAACAAACACACCCTATGCATCTTTACAACATTCCAAAGTAACACCATGGGAGCTCTATCAACCCAAGGAAACTGACTGCAAAGACGTATTTTTTATTCCTTGAAAGGGTATATGATTTTCTTTATCCTTCAGAAATCACAAAGATCACGAGTTGTCAATGTTGGACATTTCATTTATACATGTTCCTTTACGTTTTCTTTTATTGATGTTGACGTTATTATTCTATTTTGTCTTACCTCTGTAGTTTGTGTGTTGTACGTTTGTTATATTAGTGACGCTTCACCTTTATTTGTACTGTAGGAAAACTACAATGCAGACTTATCCAGTAAGGTTCGGTACATGGTTGACAAGAACCTGCTTGATGATCCTCACGTGAAAGCAAATCTTCTTTTTCAGGTTAATCCTTGTTATCACCTCATCATTCTCAAGTTCTTTTAATATTGTTTAACTTTAGATTTCCTTCTTCAACTGACATTAGAATATCTAGAACTTTCCAATATGCATATTTGGTTACTTTGACAAATCACAAACGGTTCTGTCCTTTTACATATATTTTAATCGGGCTACAGGCACACTTTTCTCGAGTTGAACTACCGATCACCGACTATGTCACTGATTTGAAGTCGGTGCTGGATCAAAGTATCCGTATTATCCAGGCAATGATAGATCTATGTGCTAACAGCGGATGGCTTTCTAGTACGCTTACTTGTATGCATCTTCTGCAAATGGTCATGCAGGTATTCTCTACATTCCTATCACAATAGATGGCTTTTCTTGATTAATTGCTTGTTTTGGACCACTTATGAAAAAAAACAATTTGAATATGGACCATTTAATCAGTTATTTCTAAATCTCCAGTTTCAACTTCTTTGAATCAACTTTTTGGGGGATTTACTTGTCCCAAAGCGAAGTCTAAATTTAACAGTAAATATCTATTATTATGGAGATGGACTCTTAGGATTGGGTTTTTGGTTTTGACAGACTGGATACATTTTTACACCTTAACTCAAAATGCAACTTAACTCGCCTACTCTTTATCAATATAATTAAATAATATCAATCAATCATCATCACATATTACATCAACTTTAATTCATTATTCATTCAGTTACCCATCACTTCTAATCACCTCTCCCTACTTTTACATCACATCAACTTTAATCATTACATTTTAAATATTATTTAATTACAAACTCAAAATCCCTCTTAATCAACTTTATTCGAAATTAACTCATACAAAAATAATCCACTTCCAGTCACCCCCTTACATCCAAATTTCCATTTGAACCTGCACAATTCCAAATACTGCTACCAGAAAACTTATGTCATTTGCTAGTTTGCATTGTTGCTTTTCTACATGCACGTACAAATATTGTTGGCTTCTTGAGTTCCTTCGATGTTCTCTTGTTTCTATTGGCATCATAAAATTGTAATGTATCTTTGCTTAAACCGGAACTCTGTTATTTGAGATATTCTTTTTCCATTTATATTTTCTTATTTTGTGATATTGCAGGGATTATGGTTTGACAGAGATTCCTCCTTGTGGATGCTACCATGCATGACGGAAGATCTTGTCACGACATTGAGCCGGAGAGGAATCACAAATGTCCTGCAGTTGTTAGATCTTCCTCCTGCAAATTTGCAGGGTCTCATAAATAGTTCCATTGCTACGAGATTACATGAGGTACAGTTAGTTAATGGCTTCATTAAAGCAATTTGAGCACATTTCTGTAGTTATTGCTGAACTCAATTTGATGGTATAAATCTTTTTCTAATAATGTTAAAATATCGTCTTCCGTTGAAAATTTGCTTTAACAGTTTTAGAATATTTTGGTTCATCCAACTATTTCACCCACTTGTTATTTTCCATGTACAGCAATTACAGCATTTTCCTCGCATTCAAGCTCGATTAAGAGTTCAGAGACGAATGGCTAATGATAATCCTCGTGTTACGCTCAACATAAGACTGGAAAGGACAAACAGACACAAGAAAACATCACGAGCCTTTGCTCCTCGATTTCCTAAGGTGGGCTGGCTGTTTTTCAGGTAGAAAAAATATCATTTACTGGAGGAGAAAAAATAGCTGACACAGTCACATTACACAGGTAAAAGATGAAGCTTGGTGGTTGGTTCTCGGCAATAGCTCAACCTCTCAACTCTATGCATTGAAGAGGGTGTCTTTCAGGGATTCAGTACAAATAAGCATGGATATCCCATCCAATGTTAACGACACCCAGGTAGGAGAAGTTTCGACTCAAGTATCAATAACCTAGCATCATTTTTAGATATTTTGGTCTCTATTTAATGTTTTTCACGACTTTTTTTAATGCTTAAACTTTTGTTTCAAAAATCAAGTTTTTTCATACACGATTCACAACTTGAATGTTTTTGTGATGAACCTTGTNAATAAATGTTCGTGCCTTCTAACTCGAGAGTTTCTTGTTCTTCAGGGTATGAAGTTGATCATTGTTTCAGATTGTTATCTAGGGTTTGACCAAGAGTACTCTATCGAGAGACTATCGTAACCCAACTTTTTTGTAACAGAAACATGATGGGGTATAGTTCATTGTTAGTTAATAGTATAGTATCAAGTAAGTAGTTCATTGAGAATAGTAATTATATTACTGACCTTAATCGTGGGGACTTTCTGCCATTTCGTGCTCGTTTTGTCTTTATTTCTTTTTTGTTCGCTTTTTGAATGCATAGATAAAGTATCTCGATTCATTTGAAAAGCAAATTGAATGGACTTAGTTGATTTTATCGTTGATCCCATGGATGCACAGTACCAATTTTTAACCGTCAATCAATATACCAAAATGAGTGTGTGATCTGATATTGAAAAATGCTCGCTCTTGTGGGATTGAATTTAATTGTTGATAAACTACGGTTTGGCAAAAATCCCAATCGCACATCTTGCTGAATTTGCAAACGAGACTTTATAAATTGTCATTCCAGTTCGGTTCTCGACGGTCTTTCAATTAGTTTAGTCATACGATTGGTTTTGTGTTTTCTTACAGTGTCGCTTGTTTAATTAAAACTATCCCCCAACCTAAAGTTTTAGAGCGGAATATAAAATTAATTTAAAAAAAAAAAAAAAATCTTGCGAAATTCCCATACCAGCCATTTTTCAGTAGGATTTTTTTTTTAAAATTTTGGCCTCTTCAATTTAGTTTAGTCGAACTGAATGATAGATTTGTGTTTATTTATAATACCAGTCATTGTACTAAGATTAAGCCATACCTACTACAAGTTTTAGGTTGTGTTTGGTAAATTTAACTCATAAATTGGCTTATAAAATAGTTTATAGCTTTTAAGTGAATTTCGAGCTATAAGCTTATAATTTATGGCAAAAAATATAGCTTATATGATAAAAGCGTGGTAAATTTAGTTGAAATAAAAATTCTAATGAACTTACTCAAGGAAGTACGAAGCTTATGACAACCTCGAGCTTTTTAAAAAAACCCGTCTTATCAAACTAAGTTTATTTGAATACAAGAAGTATATAATCTAATCAAAGCTATAAGCTAATCAATGAAACTATAAGTTAACTTATATGCTTACCAAACACAACCTTTGGCCGAAAAAATACAAAATACACTAGTTACATTCTCAAATGAAAAGACCTATGAAAATATTGTTTGATTACTTGAAATATTAATTTTGGATGGTTATTAGTGAGTTTGAGTCAAATGCTATGCTAGGGTCTCAGTGTTTCACTATTATTTTCTGCTACTGTTAAAATAACCACTTCAGTTTTATGAGTTCGTGTTAGTAATTGTGTAATGGAAATCTACACTACATCTTGGCTTACATTTAAAGATACAGGATGTAGATTTAGCCAATGTTTATTTACAAGCCTACAGAAAAAGCAATACACTAATCCCACTCAGAATCGAAAAAACCAGCATCTTTCATTTCTGAATAATACTCATTATCCAAAAGCCAATCTTCCTCCTGCACATGTCAAAAGTCATGAATCTATCTGAGATAAAGAGAATGCATGTGAGCTTTCTTCAATGACTGCAGATGAATATGTGATTACCTGGAAAAAGTCAGCGAGGAAAATTGCATACAGGAAAGGAAGATAAAGGGAGTGCCGGCAGATAATCATGAAATTGTACAACCTGACCAGAAAGATTGCACGATATGAAACAATACAAACATATGTATCAATCATAGATTCTTTCGAAATGTGAAGGGAAAGAAAAGTGTACCAAAATCCTAAGCCAAAACCAATTCCAGCCAGTCCACTAGCAAATACTCCTGCAGTATTTACTATGAACATGACGACAACATAGTTGTAGAATGATGGCCTTGCTACATAATGTGCAATTTATTCATGGAATCAAAGCAATGCCGCCAAGTTAGTCCGAGGAAATAATAAAAGACGAGACAAGTAGAAAGACTCTTAACACTAAAGAAGATTTGACTCACGTGGCAACTTATCCCTCCACTTTGAATAATGAACGAATAGTATGTAGCAATAGACCGATGCAAGCACCAATAAGTGAAAGAACAATACACTCCACTTTCCCCACTGTGTAGCATCACTGTTAATGAAGAGAGATACTCCAAATCCAAATATGAAGATTGCCTACACAATGTCAAAAGTGGCCTCAAGTTTAATTTGGATAAGAACGAATGCACAAAGATGTATTCAGCACAATCTCGTTAGTAGTTTTTCCAATCGGAACACCATAAAGGGGAAGTATTTGTTCATAGTAAGAATGTGTATGACACCATATTATATATATTTTATTTGTCTGACTGACTTCATAAAGATGATATGGGTCATCACTTCAAAGGTCGATATGAACTCAAACCATTTTCTATTTCTATTTTAGGGTAAATTGAGATTTCAATACCAAAACTAAGGGGTAATCTCAAAGTCAGTACCCCACATTCACACTACATCAATTTTGGCACCCTAACTATGAAACAACTTGCGAATTTCATAACCCACCATTAGTTGTCATTTAAAACCAGCAGAAAATTTGACAATCTTCATACCTGACACTCATGAAATTCGCGAGTTGTTTCATAGTTAGGGTACTAAAATTGACATAGTGTGAAACAAGGCGGTCTCGGATTGAGGAGAATGGAACTGTGGGGTACTGACTTTGAAATTACCCCGTAGTCCGGGTACTGAAATTGCTATATACCCTTTATTTTACCACTCATAATTGGCTTTTGAAACCCAAATTCACAGTAAATTGAAATTCAGAAATGATATTTTGGACGTAATAACAAGCACGTCAACTCAAGAGCTTAAAGAATTAGGAAGAACAGATAGTTGTTACCTGGACAAGTAAATCAACAGCTACAACGGAACCCGAAATACGGAAAATATGAGCAAGTGCTTCTAATCCATTTGCATAATCATCCTGGAGCAGGAAAGCCACTATGCTAATCTCCAAAGATAGCATCCCACATTCTGTGAATAATGACAACAAGTTCCAAGCAATTGCCTTGTCAAGAGCACACTGCCATCCCTGTTTTCCTCATAAAGATCAGTAAACAAGAAACGGGTACTATTTACTCACATTTATTTGATGATTAATATTACCTAACATCATATAAACTAATTTACTCGAGAATATCAAAGAAAAAAGCTTTTTCAGATCAAGATGAAGGGTTTACGAAAGAAACCTAAAATGTAAAGTTTATGGAAAACCGTGTTCTCAGCGTAGTTCTTTATGGAAATCTAGACATATAACTCTTTTTTTTTTCAGCTTTAACAGATAATGCCAAATCAAAAGCTCAAATCATTTCAAATTTTTGAAAAAAGGTTAGTTTTAAGTCAAATTCTCCAATTACAAAAAATGTGCCAATCTTTTTTTATCTAAATTCAAACAGAAATCATATTCTGCATCAGCCCTCACTGCTAAATTAAAACTGATGGCACATAATCAACCTGATCAAACCTAGCTATGCACCATTAAATTTTTAGTGTGTGACTCGATTAAAAATTCACACTGAAAATAACAAAATTCAGACAGGGTCCAGTTAAACACAAGTCCAAGCACAACATTCATGCAATAATTCAAATTGGGAAAGTATATAACTACATTTCCAGAACAGATATAAAATTCAATTAATGCTGAATTTCCCAACAGCAGTTCAATTTCTCCAAATTTCAGAAAACTTCGTACAAAAAATGCAGACGGCTCAACAAGACGAGCTCTAATATTACTTGACCTCCAGAAGGACCAAAACATGAGTAAGATTCTAAATCATTCTGGATCTACGCAAAAAGAGGTACACAGCCAGCTCAAAATCTCAAATTCAACCTAAATATACACAATAATTCAAAAATCGGATACCTAATTCCCACCTGAACCATAGACCACGCCAAATTTAGCAGAGCTGAGACCCATAAGAGGGCGTAATACGCGATCATCACATAGGACTTCCTATGCATGAGCTTCTTCACGTTGCGTCTCGCTTGAAATCCTATGTACAACACCAGCAAAGCCGAAGGTACAATCAGGGCCGCCTCGCGCCATAAGCTGTTGCACCCCGAGTTTTCGGGAGTGGGCCATTGAGAAATCCTCGCGATTTTACTGCTTATTGGGGGTTCTGTGATGTACTGCTTCGAGGCGTTATAGAGGGATAAATTAGGGTTTGACATTCACACGATTCCAGACAATTTTGCAGAACAATTTGGGAATCATTCAATCAATTTGATCAATTTGAGAGAGCTCCAACGAAGGTTGTGTTATGTGATGTTTATATATACTTGTTTGGGTTTATTTGAGTGAGCGTCAACGAATCATTATTTTATATATAATAATTAAGAAAAATTCTACATTACAATTTACAACCTAGTGTACAATTAAGTAGACAACATAAGTGAAAACATCCACTTTTTTATTTTTTGTTTTTTTGAATGTTTTCAGTTGTGTTGTCAATCTAGTTGTACACTAGGTTGGCAATAATTAATTATGATTTATTTTTAAATTAAACCGGGTTGGACACTGTCCGACCGACTGGACCGAGAACCGGTTTATAACCAGTCTACTTCGCTTGAATAAAATATTTGCTATCGAATCCTTCAACACCGATCGGTTGGACTGGTAGGATCGATACGATTTTCTAAATAGATTTTGCTACATTTAAAATTATTTTAAATAAATTACATATTTAAATAAAATAGAGATTTATAAATTTTTTATCAATTAATTTAAACATTTGAATTTATAAATTGTTTAGATATTTAAGTAATTACAAAATATTAAAATGTTTATAAATTAAAATCTAAACAAACCACAAATGATATAATAAAATAACTTTGATTGTTTCGATGAGGGTCCGATTAATATTCTAAAAACCTTATATTTACTGTACCTTAATAAAATTATAACAAAATGTTATTTTATTTACAAATTATTAATAAAATGATATATAAGTATCTATAAATTATTAAACATGTTGTCATAAAAACATGGCGTGATTTTCCAATTATGATCTCTGATTCTTTGTCCCAAAGAACAATAGTGGCATTTGCAATAGAAGCCGAGATGAGCAAATTCATCTTGTATCTATTAAAAACAATAGCATAAAAAATTCATCAATTATGACAAAGTAACCAATGAAAAAATCCTTGTATACCTAAACTTTTCAACATTGTTTGAGTATTTGTTACACTCGAAGTCATTGTCTGAGTTATTCATTTTGCTGCTGCAACTTCTGCAAGGAAAATACCACCAATTGTCCACAATATAGTCAACCAAGGCACAAATTCAAATGGTTGTTGCCTTAAAAAATAGTAAGAATTAAGAATTACAAATAAGATTTACTAAAATGAAATTTGAAAATCTTATATTAATATTCAATAATAAAACAAATGTACCTCTTTATTTTCATACAAAGCGTCTACCGAAAAAACTTTAATCTCGCCCGAGTGCAACTTTTGTAGTTCAGTCTTCACAACAGTTTTTGACTTGGAACTGTATTTTGTCAACTTCATATTGCTTGTTGTGTATCTATTAATTGAATAGAAAATTTTTAAAAATGTATAAATTCGAAATATAAATTACAAAAAATAATGAAAAGAACTTTAAATTTGACCTTTTCCAGAAGTCGTGAATCTCTTCGACAGAGGCATGTGCAATCAACTTGTTAACATTTAATGAAATTGTAACTTGCACTTTTCTACAAATATAAAAAACTTCATTATAAAAAAATATTTATATATTTAATTTTATTATATTGAAAAAAAATGTCACAAATTAAATCCAAAATAATAGTAAACAGTTATTTGAAATTTGAAATCAAAATTTGGAGATATCTGAATTTTTGGAATACGTCAAAAGAGTCCGAACAATGTGAAATTATGAAGTTGATTTGATATTGAATTCAAGATCTGTCGGAATTTGAAAAAAATTCCTTAATTTTAGGTTGTTCAATTATATAAATATATGTGATTTGATTTTTCCAATTCAAATTGTAGATGAGCCACATTTTAAAACATAAAATAAAAAATAGCTAAAAAATAACCGATTTAAGGCCAACCGATTTTTTGGGAAGTGAATTAAAACATAAAATAAAAAACAGCTGAAAATAGTATGCAATTAATATGTGTTGACTTTTTCATCTTATTATTTATGGTAAATAGTAAATCTTTTTATATATATATATATATAGATAGATAGATAGATAGATAGATAGATAGATAGATAGGTGTTCATTTAATAAAATTATGTTCACCATTTAACAGTAATATGTAACTTTTAGTTGCATAATTTATTTTGACAGATCCCATTTTGGATGGTACCCATCTATATAACGTCTTTTTATGTCGTGAAATGTAAAATATTTTTGTTTTTATTTGATACTATATATTTTTTGGTATTATATAAATACATATTTCACAATTAATTAAGAATAAGTATAAATATCTCTATTTTCTATTGCAGTCATACAGTAATGAAAATATATTTTTTCGGTATTACAAAGACACATCAAATATTTTGAAAAATTAAATCCCAGAGTCGCGAGTCGAAGAGGTTTAACGATAATGATTTGTTGTGATGGGGATTCTGACCATAGAAAAACCACGAATGTTGTATATAAAGAAGTGTTTAATAGTATTTAGATTCTTTTTTTAAAATTATTATTTTCTCATTTATTAAGTTATGAATTTTATTTTATTCTATATTTTTAATTACTTTCTCTTATATTATATTGCTTTTCGTGCAAATGCACGGGGTAAAACTAGTATTTAGGTAACTTTGAGAAATTCATGTATCTATCAGCGTGTACATTTCTAATTCTTATGGGCGTATGATTATTTAAAGATCTTATTAAGAAATAATATTTATACAACTTTTAAATTTGCAATTACAAGTTACAAATCTATACTTATGAGATGAACAATTAGAAATTTTGATTTTAAATTTTACGAATATTTCTTAACAAAATAAATTAGTACTTTATTTTATTAATTAATTTTATTTATATCAGCTGCGGTTAGCAGCTGGACCATCCGCAAACTCAGGTTCATTTCGGTGCATATCCTCCACCCGCCTCCAAACTGCATGAGATTACGAAATTATTTCCCTCCAAAAAATGCTCGGGCCGAAACTCTTAGTGGGTTTGACCCATTCGTTCGTGTCGTAGCCTATGGGCCAAACGTCAACTAGAAGTGTTGACCCCTTTGGGATGAAGTACCCGTCGACCTCACAATCCTTAGTGGGCGATTCTTGGTAGTGAAATCGGGTCGTCAAGTGGAGATGAAAGTTCTCCTTGATGCGACGGCGTTAAGGAACATTAGTTGGGGTTGGGCTCGGGCCACGACCTGCGAATGAGTTCCGTTAGGGCCCATTCCACCGGCTACAAATAAGTTCTTCAAGTGATGATAGCATAGTGAGCACTAGTTTGAAAAAACTGATGATTAGTTGAATGTATTAAGGAACAATGTGGAGGTTTAATTATGAATGTATTAGGAGGGAAAGTAGAGGAGGAAAAAGGAAACATAGCCAAGCATATTGTCCACTAATTTCCTCTAAATATTACAATTAGGTACAAAAACATTTTGGCTAATTTGAAAATCAGAAAACAAAATATCAACATTTGCTGCAAATTGATAGGTCTTGCTAAGGTGGATCTATGATGTAGTGAACAAACATCTCTAGGAAATTTTAAGATTTTAACTTACACATTTTTATGCCAAATTGCAATTCATAACATGTAAAATACAATCAACAGCTGCAATTGATATTGCTTTAATATCAAGTATTACAACTAAGTTTATCACACTACATTTTACTGCTGGTAAAAGTTCAAGATACTTTTTTCACTTGACACGTGTCCCGACAAAACATCGAAAGAAGCATCTAAGGCTTATTCAGTTATTCCATACAAGTCGGAAAACCCAGATATTTACAAAACATTACAA